TGCTTGGGGGAATCATATGGGATGTGGGGGGATCAAACCCAGGTTGGCTACATGCAAGGCAAGCACCCTACCAGCTGAATTTGTGCTCACTCTGGCTCTGAGCACAAATAATGTTATTCTAACAACAGAAGGGACTGGGAGGGGAGGGCCTCCTGGAAAGCTCATTTGTGGGAGCCCCCCCACCCCGACCCTGGCTGTCAGTCTCTGCTGCCTCGCCTCTGGTTCTGCTGGGATCGGAGGCCCTGGTGCAGGGTTCCTGCCCTACTGGGCTCCTCTTCCATCCTCCCAAATGAAGTGGAGAGTCATGGCGTCCGCATGGGGCTATGAAGAGCTTCGGGGGTGGCACTAGCTCTGCAAGGGGGCCCCAGCACTAATAAAAGACCCTCTGGCATCAAGCAGGGTGAGTAGCCCTGAGTACTGTGGGTGCAGCCTAATACATCCCCCCAAAAAGTAGATTAGGTGCAGGGTGCACAAGAGGCTTTTTGATTTGGGGTGATGCTTGGGATTTCCTCCTCGCTCTGCTTAGGGGTCACTCCTGGCAGGGCTCAGGTGCCCTCTGAGATGCCAGGGATTGAACTGTACTCAGCTGCGTGCCTGGCAAGCGCCCTCCCTGCTGTAAGCCCTCCCCAGTTGTGTGTACTCGTTTCTAAATCTACTATGATGAAAAACATTAAATGGCACTAATGTGCGTGCGTGTGTGTGTGTGTGTGTGTGTGTGTGTGCGCCATACCCAGTGGTGTTCAGGGTTAATTTCCAACCCAGTTTGTGTGTGGGTCATTTCTGGCAGTGCCCAGAGGATCATAGAGTGCCAAGCCTCAGACAACCTCCACCTGCAAAGTATGTTCCCGGACTTGGAGCTGGGTCCCTGGGCCAGCAGTGGTTGTTTTGTGGACATCCAGGGACTTCCCAGGGATCAACAGTTGAACCAGCAGGTTAGTCCTCATTCTGCTGATGTTGGGGCTGCCTGAGCTGGAGTTTGAGGAGACGAGTTTGGAAGTTCTTTCCCGATAGCATAGAGTAGAGGCCCTCTGCTAGTGATATAGTAAGGTAGCAAGAAATAAAACTAGGGGCTGGAGCAATAGTACAGTGGGGAGGGCATTTGCCTTGCACGCTGCTGACCTGAGTTCAATTTCCAGCATCCCATATGGTCCCTTGAGCACTGCCAGGAGTAATTCCTGAGTGCAGAGTCAAGAGTAACCCCTGTGTATCGCTGGGGTCACTGTCCTCCCATTGTTCATTGATTTGCTCGAGTGGGCCCAGTAACATCTCCATCATGAGACTTGTTGTTACTATGTTTGGCATATCAAATACATCACAGGTAGCTTGCCAGGCTTTGCTGTGCAGGCGAGATCCTCTTGGTAGCTTGCCGGGCTCTCCGAGAGGGGCGGAGGAATCGAACCTGTTTCAGCCAGGCTGGCTGTGTGCAAGGCAAATGCCCTATGCTGGGGTGCAAAGAAGAAAGAAAGAAAGAAAGAAAGAAAGAAAGAAAGAAAGAAAGAAAGAAAGGAAGAAAGGAAGGAAGGAAGGAAGGAAGGAAGGAAGGAAGGAAGGAAGGAAGAAAGAAAGAAAGAAGGAAAACTAATACACACAGATCAACAGTCTTTATAATAGCAGGAAAAGACTGTCACATAGAGAAACTCCATTTTCACAAGTAGGAAAGAAGATATTTAGCAGTAAATCTAAAAAATGTTTAGGATCTGTATGAGGGGCAGGGGAGACAGTACAGCAATTAGGGTGCTCGCCTTAAATATGCCCAAATCCAGTTTGATCCCCAGTAGCACATGCTATTCTGAACCCTCCTGGGAACGTCCCCTGAGCACAGAATCAGGAGTGATCTGCAGAGCGTGGTCCCAAAATAAAACATTCTTCCTAGATCCCAGGCAGATACTAGTATTTACATAGAAAGGGCCAGAGAGAGCACACGGCTGACCCAGTTTAATTTCCAGCACCATAAATGGTCCCCTGAACCTGCCAGGGGTGATCCCTGAATGCAGAATCAGCAATAAACGTTGAGTGCAACTGGGTGTAGCGCAAAAGCAAAAAAAAATTCATATAGAAGAATAAGCATGAAAAAAAATTTTTTTTAATTTACAAAACAACAATATAGTAGCTCAGAAACTTTGAGAGAAGCTGGCCACCAAGAACAGGTGCCAAAATGTCGCCACCTGCCAATCACAGTTGATACTGAATGCTCGTTTGGGCAGAGCAATTTGCTTTTAAGTCCTGTAAGTCTGAAAGGAGTTTTTCCATTATATTCTCTCTGTCTCTCCCTCTCTCTCCCTCTCCCCTCCGCTCTTGGATTTCACCAAGAGTTCATATTCTTTTCATCACATGAAATGTGCATTCAGACCTTCAAAGCAGTTTCTCATTTTAAAAGACCACCAGTGAAGGAAATAGTACAATAATTCTAGTGGTTCAAAGGAGAACCCAGAGTCTGGAGAGATAGTACAGCGGGGAGGGCACCTGCCCAGCACACAGCTGACCCAGGTTTCATCCCTGGGACTGCTGGAGTGAATGGTTTGATCCCCAGCACCACAGGTGGTCACTTGAACACCAGGAGTGACCCCTAAGCACAGAGTTATAAGCCCTGAGCACCACCGGGTGTGGCCCCAAAACCAGAACACTAAGAATGGAGAGAGAAGCCAGGGGGGAGATGCCCACACGAGCCATCAGGACAGGGAACAGATTCACCCACAGGGATGAACCGCATCACTCTCCCTATGGGTAATATTTTCTACACCTTTATTTGTATTTCCAGGGACAGAAATAATTATGACAGTCATTTCCCTGCCATTCTGGAGTTGATTCCAGTGGCTTGAAAACCAGGAAAAGTGCAGATCCTTCTAGAATGTGACCCCCCCCCCCCCCCCCCGAGGTAGTCGGGACTGCTGGAGTGAATGGTTGGGTCCTTCAAAGTTCCCTGCCACTCCCTGAGGGTCTGCGGTTCCCACAGGACCTGCCAGCCAGCTCCTCCCCCCCCCCCCCCTTCAGGCCTCCTCAGGACCAGGGAGCTAGTGATCAGTGAAGGGAAGTTTTCAGCGGAGTGTTTGGTACTGACCACTTGGCCCCCCATTAGTTGAAAAGAACCGGGTGTCCTATCCTGCTGGCGCCAGATGATCTCCTCATTGGCCACCATCCAGATCACATGGCTTTTTCTCCCGGAAGGGAACAACATGATGCCTGCCATAGCCAGGCCACCAGACTCCACAGCAGACTGTTTCACTCGGGCCACCCGAGAGGGGGGCGGGTGAGAGCCCTCCCCAACCCAAGGGGACTCAGCCCCAGCAGCCGAAAACCTCCAGAACCCAACCGCCGCCACACTCAAGGCCATTCCCCACACACTGGGGCCGAGCCTCACATACGAGTGAACATATTCCTGGATTGCATGGCCGCAAGCGTGACACATCATAAAACACTCCCTACCCACTCTCCATAAGTACCACACCACACTGATGGGCTTTAAGACCAATCACAGAAGGTAATATATATATTATATATATGCATATATACAATGTTTCGGGTATATATATATATATATATATATATATATACACACACACACACAAAAGCTCAGGCCACTCAACCTTTAACAACATGTTAGTGACATTCTAAAGAATGTCTTAAATGGCCCCTGCCAAAATAGAACGATCTTCACACTGTCTCCTCTATAGATACTTTTTTTGTGGCATTTTCAGTGGTTTTCCATAACAGCACTGTAGCACTGTCCTCCCATTGTTCATCAATTTGCTCCAGCAGGCACCAGTAATGTCTCCATTGTGAGACTTGTTACTGTTTTTGACGTATTGAATACACCACAGGGAGCTTGTCAGGCTCTGCCGTGCGGGTGGGATACTCTCGGTAGCTTGCCAGACTCTCCGAGAGGGGTGAAGGAATCAAAACTGGATCAGCCACATGCCAGGCAAACTCCCTACCCACTGTGCTATCCCCTCCAGCCCCTTCCACTAACAGACAATACAAAGTATATTATTTTGGTTGTGCTTTGGGACAGGGATTGGGGCTTGGAATGGAAACATCCCAAATCTGCTGGTGGGAAGGTGTCATGGTGGTGGGATTGGTGTTTGAATATTAACCGTAATCAAATATTGTGAATCACCTTATAAAATAAAAAAAATTAAAAAAACAAAACAAAACTGGGTGTCCTCAGAAGGACAGGTCCATGGTCGGAAGCTTGTCACAGTGGTGGTGGTGGGGGGAATCAGACAGAGGAGGGATCACTATGACAGTGATGGTTGGAAATGATCGCTCTGGACAAGACCTGGGTGCTGCAAGGAGGGGGCGTGGTCCCCGTGGTCCCCACCTTAACCTTTCAGAACTGCAGGAGCCACAAGCGCCTGCTGTGGGGGGAGGCTGGGGTGGGCGGCAGGGGGGAACCTGACCAAGGGACTGGTGTTGGGATACTGTATCACTGACACCTAGTCACAAGCAACTTTGTAACAGTGCCTCTCACAGTGCTTCTACTTTTTTTTTTTTTTTTTTTTTGCTTTTTGGGTCACACCCAGCCATGCACAGGGGGTTACTCATGGCTCTGCACTCAGGAGTTACTCCTGGCGGTGCCCAGGGGACCATATAGGATGCTGGGAATCGAACCCGGATTGGCCATGTGCAAGGCAAACGCCCTCCCCGCTGTGCTATCGCTCCAGCCCCAGTGCTTCGATTTTTAAAAACGAAAGAAGGAAGAATGGGGCGCACTGCACATCCGGGACCCCACGGCGTCCCATGGCCTCCACCAGTCATTGTTGTCCCGGATGCATCTCCCTCTGTGCGTTTGCTCGGAAGTCAGGGGGCTCGGACAATGGCTGGAGTCGTCATAGAAAGGCAGATGGCTCTGGAGAGATCCCCAGCCCTGCGCCCGGCGTGGAGACCCCCAGGCCTGCGCCCGGCATGGAGATGCCCAGCCCTGTGCCCGGCGTGGACCCCCAGCCCTGCGGCCTCGTGGGTGGACAGGCAGCTCCGCCCCCGCCCCTGCCTGTGGCTCGGGCCTAGCGCCGCTGGTGCAGCTGGATGATGCCTTCCTCATGCAGTCGCTTCCACAGCTGTTTCTCTAAATTGAAGTCATGGTTGATGTAAAAGACGGTTCTCTTCCACGACAGGTCGAAGTAGTGGTCGGAGAAGCGGCTGTGGCCCTCGGTGATGAAGCCGTAGGCACTCACCTGTACAGCGGTGACAGCGTGTCGCTGACGGGTGGGGGGTATGTGGGTGTGGCCCCTCCTTCCACTCTCCCGCGTGCCCCCTGGCCTCACCTGGTCGCAGAGCTGCAGGGCCGTGAGCAGCAGCAAGGCCCCCGTGGTGGGCCGGTATAATCGCCAGTGGCGGGAGTCCAGGGTCTTTGACCTCAGAAACCTGGGAGGTGGGCGGGGCCGTCGGCCCTGCACACAGCCAACCTGGGCCTGACCCCGACAGCCCATAGGGTCCCCCAGGCAGCGCCAGGAGTGATTCCTGAGCACTGAGCCTTGAGTAACCCCCGAGCACAGCCAGGTGTGCCCCCCACCCCCCCCACCCCCGTGATGAATGGTAGCAGCGGCCCCCCAGCCCCGCCCCACGCACCTGTTCTTCATGTAGCGGAGCACGTCTGGGTGCAGCAGGTGGTACCTGTCCAGGCTGAAGTCATCGGGGAAGGCCTCCCGTGGCCGGCGCCTGCAGGAGCAGCTGGATCAGGGTACCCACTGACCGTGGCTGCCCCTCATCTCCCGGAATGGGTCAGAGGGTCCCCATGTGCCCCCTGCTTCTCAGCTGCTCCCTCTCTGGGAGCACACATGGGGGAGAGGAGGGGGACAGGGAGTACCGGAACCAGGCAAGCTTATTCTCCCTCAGGGGCTGGTCCAGGAGCAGCGCCTGCAGCCACGTGTAGTCCCGGGAGTTCTCCAGGAAGTGCAGGTAGTGGACGTCCTGAAAGGGGGGGACGGCAGGTGGGCCCCCCGCCCCCGCACTGGATGTCCTGAGAGCAGGGGACAGCAGGTGGCCCCCCCCACTGGACGTCCTGAGGCGGGGACAGCAGGTGGGCCCCCACTGGCCCCCACTCTGGACGTCCTGAGAGCGGGGAGAGGGCCTCCACGCTGCCTGTGTCCCTTCCTCGGACTGGACAGGCCTGGCAGGCGCCCCCACTACCTGGGCCGGGCCTTCTGCTCCCCCCCCCTTACCTTGCCCTGGGGCGCGTGCGGGAACCCCCTCCTGCCCAAGCTGGCCATCGAGGTGGTCAGGGAGAAGGCGGTGAAGCCGTAGAAGCTGGTGCGGTTGCCCACGTCCCGCTCGAAGCCGCGCGTGAGGGCGCCGTTCACTCTGCAGAGAGGCCGCGGCGTGGGTGTGGGGTGGGAAGGCGCCTGGTACCCCGCAGTGCGCCCTGCACAGTGCTCCCTCCCGGTGGCTCACCGGAACACGTAGTCGTGGCCGTCGATCTCCTGGCCCTTGCGGGAGCCATTCAAGCTGCCCCCGTTGCCCACCACAGCGCAGCGGACGCAGGGGGGGTTCCCGCGGGCCAGGCCGGCCAGGAGCTGCCGCGGGGGTCCGGGCGGGAAGTGGGCCACCACACTCTGCACCACTGCGGGGTGGGGTGGGGGGCGGGCGGTGAGGGCCGGGCGGGAGGGGGTGTGACCCACCCACGCGCCCAGGCTGCCCCCCACTCACGGGAGCGGTTGAGCTCCAGGAAGCCGAAGGGCGGGTTGTAGCGCCGCAGCCGCTCCCACTCCTCCGGGTCCAGGTGCTCCGAGTCCAGGAACAGGGTGACGTTGGGCAGGAAGAGGCTCCCGAGCCAGGGGGACGCGGCGGCCTTGACCTTCAAGGAGCCGGGGCAGGTCTACACGGGAGGGGGGGGGGTCAGGCCGCGGAGGGCCAGCGGGGAGCAGCAGCAGCCCCGCCCGCCAGCCCGGCCACTCACTGTCGGGGGGATACCCGCGTCCATGCGGTACTTGTCGCCGGCTTCTGGCCCAGAGCTGGCCTGGACATCCTTGGGGCTCCGGGCAGAGGCTCTGGCCGCGGTGGTCTTTGCTCTGGCCTTGGGGGTCACCGTCACTCTGGTCTCGTTTTCCATTCTCGTTAGTCTGGCCTCCAGGAGGGCCTGCGCCTTGCCCCCGCTACCCGGGACAGGGATCCGGTCTGTGGGGGCCACTTTCCCCAGTTCCCGGGAGGGCTCTGTGCCCCAGCGGCCCTGCCCTTGGGTGCTCCTCGGCTCTCTGCTTGGCACCGCTGTGGCTTTCATGGGCTCAGGGGTGGCGCCCCCAGCTCTGTCCCCCGTTTTCTTCCTCTGTGGACTCGTGCTGCCGACAGCCCCCGAGGTTCCTGCGTGTCCTCTCACTGTGGTGATCTTCTTTGTCGGCTCTGCAGGGAGCGTCCTCCTGTCCCTCATGGGGGCCGGGGGCCAGGCAGGGGCCCTCTCCTCGGGGCTCTCTCTGCCGGGGAACGTGGAACACAGAGTGTTCTCAGCCCTTGTATTTTCTAACTAAGAAAACCCGAAAGTGGGGGCCAGAGCCATCACACAGCAGGGAGGGCGTCTGCCTTGCACCAGGCCCATCCCGGTTCTATCCCCAGCATTCCATAGGGACCCCCAAGCCCCACCAGCAGTGATTTCTGAGCTCAGAGCCAGGACTGACCACTGCGCATCGCCAGATGTGGCCCAAACCAGAAAGAAGGGAAAAACCCAAAAGGGGATGTTTTTATAAGCAGAAAGTTGCTTGAGGAAGCCAGGAGCTGGAAGAGGGTGCCCTTAGGGCAGGGCTTACTCCTGGTTCTGCACTCAGGAGTTACTCCTGGCGGTGCTCAGGGGACCATATGGGATGCTGGCAATCGAACCCGGGTCGGCCGCGTGTAAGGCAAATGGCCTACCCGCTGTGCTATCTCTCCAGCTCCTGTTTGTTTTTTTGTTTTTTTCTTTTTGGGTCTCACCCAGGGATGCTTAGGAGTTACTTCTGGCTCTGCACTCAGGAATTACTCCTGGCAGTGCTCGGGGGACCCTATGGAATACTGGGTATCCAACCCAGGTTGACTGCGTGCAAGACAAACGCCCTACCCGCTGTGCTATCATCCCAGCTCCCCCTTGCTATCCGTTTCTAATTTTTAGGAGAGAGATCCTGGCCCATTTGGATCCCTTCTCGACCCCTTGAGGTGTGGGTCACAGGGTCCCAGACCTCCTGGGGCACACCCACATGTGGGAGGACATGCAAGAGGAAGAGGGGTGACTGGCTCATGAGCTCCACTTGGGGTGCAGGGGAAACCTGAGCTCCAGTCAGCCTCTCCCACTTCCTGGTCCTGGGGATCAGATGCAGAAAGTCACACTTTTGGGGTGTGAACCTCCTCCCATTCTACCCCATGGGTGGAATTCACTCCATTCATCCCCTCTAATCTGACAATTGAATTTAAGCCTCAAATAGGCCAGGGCTTGGGCAAGGCTGGGCCAAGCAAAGCAAAGGCCAGGGTGTGAATCCTGGCTAGGACTCAGTGCAAGCTCTGAGGTTTCCCCCAACCCCATAATTTGTCCTTCCGGCTGGCAAGGCCAGGCTGGGACAGGGATCTTTGACAGCCATCGTCTCAGACAGGCACCGACCAGCACCAGCCCGGCTCATCTCTGTTCCCCAATCACCCCTTTACCAACTGTTGATTCATTCTCGGGGTCTGGGAAGTGTCTGCAGTGGCCGGGAAGCTGCGTGGTGACTCACTCTCATTTTGTCACTAGAGGCCCCTGAAATTAAGTCTACCCCGCACCCCCCCCCCCTCCATGTATGAGGATGTGGGAGTTTTTTCCAGGATCTCCTTAAACTCTGGCTGACACCATCATGCCACCTGCAGCGATCTAAAGGCTTGGAAAGACAACTCAACATCATTCCCCTCTGCTGAAGGGGTGAGGGTAGAAAACATCCTTGACAAAATCAATTTATCCCTGGAGCTCTGTCTAATCAATGAAACTAAGAATAAGACAATTAAATTCTCGAGTGTCCAGGGTCAAGGGGAAGCGAAAGCAAAGGACTAACAAAAGGTAGAATGTTTGTCGGTGAAAGAGTCAGCAAGAGTGTTTCTTTGAAATCTGCATTAGAGAAACCAGGACTGAAGCTGGTGAGCTTGTATAAACAAACTTGGGGCAACGCCCAGAAAAAGGTCATTGATAGGACCAGTAGGTTGTTTTATCAAGGAAAAGAAAAGAACTAAACAAATAAAAAGCCTGAAGTGGAGTGAGTCAGGCACTTGCCTTGCTCATAGCCAGCCCAGGTTCCACCCCGTTGGGTCCTCTGAGCCCACTCAGAGGAATCACTCAGGCGTGATTCCTGAGTGCAGAGCCAGGAGTGAGCCCTGAGCACCACGGGGTCAAAACCCAAACCAAACAAAAGTAGCACTGTAGCACTGTCCTCTCATTGTTCATCGATTTGCTTGAGCGGGCACCAGTAACATCTCCATTGTGAGACTTGTTGTTACTGTTTTTGTCATACGCCCTGATAGCTTGCCAGGCTCTGCCGTGTGGGCGGGATACTCTGGGTAGCTTGCCGGGCTCTCTGAGAGGGATGGAGGAATCGAACCTGGGTTGGCTGTGTGCAAGGCAAACACCCTACCTGCTGTGCTATTGCTCTAGCCTAAACAAAAACAGCAACACAGAGAGAAGGAAGGGGAAAAACTTGAAACAAAAGTTAATTTTAAAAAATACCGTGAGGTTAGGGAGGTGATTCAAAGGGCGAGAGTACACGTGTGCACGCACGCGCGTGTATGATCTCTCACAATTGCACGCACGCCTCCCTGTACCAAACAGGCACGGGGTGAGGAGAGGACAGCTGGCTTTGCAGTAAGGTGGCGAGTGGGATCCGAGCCACCTGGGAAAACATTTTGCACCCAACTGGCAGGGGTGGGTCCTGAGTCCCAGAGGGTGGGGATGTCACTCTGTGAACTTTGTGAACACACATGAGGCTCCATCCCCAGCACCCACAGTTGCCTCAGAGACTGTGACTTTTAGGGATCTCTCCCCCAGAAGTGCCCCTCGGTGTCGCCAGAGGTGGGGGTGAAACTCAGCCATGTGCTCCTGCCTGGCTTTGCCCCGGGTTCCATCCCACATCCTGAGAGCAATCCTGATGGCCCTCACAGCCAAGGTGTGTTCTCAGATGCAACACAGTCACTGGGTGGGTGAAACCAGGGTGCAGGCCTGGTCAGCACCGGCCAAGAGGGACAGGAAGGGGGGAAGATAGATCTAGTTTTTAATCACTTGTATGTTGGGAACACCCCTGCGAGGAGCCTGTCTCGCTCACTCATATGCATGAGTGTCCTGAGAGCTACTAGAAAATGCATGTGCAGCTGCTGGGCTTTAAACCAGCCACCAGCCCCTCTCTGATGCAGTTTCCAGTCCTGCCCCGGGAACCCTCCCCACTGAAGCATTTCCCAGGACGCCCTTTCGTTGTCACAGGAGGACAGGAAGCTGCGCCTGGCATCTCGGGAGCAGTTTGGCCCCCCTTGTCCCCCAGTGGTGCCTGAGAACTCTGGGTGGGGAACTTCCCGGCTCTTCCTGTGCTCAGTGGGTCTGTGGGGGAGCACGTTTGAGAGGGAGGGGTTGGTGGGAAGAGTTCTCTCACTCATGGGGACCAAAGCAACAGCACAGCAGGGATGCGGCCGACTCGGGTTCGATCCCCGGCATCCCCTAGGGTTCCCTGAGCACCTCCAGGAGTGATTCCTGAGTGCAGAGCCAGGAAGAAACTCTGAGCATCTCTGGGTATGATTCCTCTCCCTCCCCTCCCCCAAAAAAACCAGTGGAAAGAACCACATGAGTGGTTTTGTTTGTTTGTTGATAAAGTGAAACACAGTTAGGTGAGAGACTCCAGATGGGAAGGAAATGAGGTAGCAGAGTAACCCTAGGGAAGGGTGACCGACCATAGGCATTTGATACCGGGGCTAGATAGTTTAGGGCTTAAGGCGCTTGCCAGTTTGATTCCGACGGGTGGAGGCTGGGGGGGGGCCTTTCAGGAGTGAACTTTGAACAGAGAGCCAGGAGCGAGCCTGCAGGTTTCCAGGTGTGTCCCAGAGCAAACAAGGAAAATCAACTGAGGTAATAAATTTTTATACTAAGGGAGTGGCTTCTCCCTCACCATCATGTCCGTGTGTAAATAAATACGCAAAAAATTATGAATCCAATTCAGGTAGCTGGAGTTTTAACATTTTGGAATTTTACTGAAGAGAACAGGGGACTGCGGGCTTCCCACGAGTCCTGTGAACTGGCGACTAGCCAATTTGTGCAAACTGATCTCACAAAGACATAGTATAATGGCACTTTGGGTCCTGGAAACAAGACAGGAGCTCTCGAAGCCCCCTGAAAGGAAAACTCTAGAAACTAGAGATGCCCCATTACTGGTCAAGCACCTCTTTTTCAGTTGTGCTTCTCCCCCACCTTTTCATGGGGGTACCACACCCAGCAATGCTCAGGACTGACTCCTGCCTCTGATCACTCCTGGTGGACTCGGGGGACCATATGGGATGCTGGGGATCAAGCACAGGTCAGCTGCCTGCGTGCAAGGCCAGCGCTATCCCCCACTGTCCCTGCCGCCCCACTATCACGCTGGCCCCGGAGTTATAATGCCAGCCCCCATCCGTTGTTTTTGAGCAACGCCAAAGGACAGACACGTACCTTAACGGTGTCACTGAGGGATCTTGCAGGAAGGAGACGTAGAGAAGAATCATCATCAGGACAGCCGAGGGCAAGAACCACCACAGCGCTGGGCCGCCATGGGCACCGAGATTCCGCCAGCGGGAACTCATGGTAGCACAGGCCCTGGGGAAAGGCCCAGGGTCCTGGGCTCAGGCCAGAGGCTGGACGGACAGCAATCTGCTCAGCCTCCAGGGTGTGCACCCTTTGTGTTCACTAGTATCTGATGTCACTGGTGTCTGCCAGGAACACAAGGTGCCACCCTTTGAGCTTGAAGGTCAAACTTAATAGGTTGGCGCGGCTTGAAGGAAGAGAAGAACTTGGTCCAAAGTTCATCAGTCTTTCGGAGTGAATCGCTCCGGGTCCCAATTCAGCAAGGAGGGTGTTTGCTTTGAAAATGGCTCCATCCCCAGTCTCTCCTAGGGTCCCCCAAGCACTGCAGGGAGTCATTCCTGAGTGTCAAGCCAGGAGTCACCCCTGGGCATCGCCAAGTGTGGCTCACCAGCTCACCCCCACCCAAGAGAAGGAAGTGAGACTCTGAGCTGTCAGTCCCTTATGTAGAATCTTACTGGCACCCGATCCTGGACCAGCCTGCAGCCGTGGAGGTGTTACCGGGCAAACACAGCCCTTGGCATGTGCAAAGCACGTAGGGGAGTGTGCTTGGTCTGCGGAGTCAAGGGGACACTCACCGTGGTGACGGGCAACAGCTTGGGCTCTGGGGGCACAGTCAGGAAAGGGGTGGGGGCTGGTTTCCCCACAAAGGCCAAAAAGTTTTATTTTGGTGTTGATCTGTCTTCCCCTGTGCTGGGGCCACACCTGGTGGTGCTCAGGGCTTACTCCTGGCTCTACACTCAGGGGTCGCTCCCGCAGGACTTGAAAGGGTTAGAGGGATCTAACCCAGATTGGCTACCCGCCATACTACCTCTGCCCCCGAGCTGTCTTCTATTTATTATTATTATTGTTAAAAATAACTTTATTAAGTCATTCTTTTAGTTACGGACATTCCATATTCCAGCACCAATCCCACCATCATTGCACCTTCCCATCACCATTATTTCCAATTTCCCCAACACCCTTGAGCCTGCCCGCATAGTAGGCCCTCAGTAATTTATTTTACATTGTTATAAGTAATTTGCCGAAAGGATGATTAAAAAAATTGTTTCCTTCACAGAAAGTTAGTGAAGATTGTTGTATCTCACCATGGAGCACTTAACCCCATGGATAAGTGATTACTGAGATGTTTCAGGTCAAGCCTTCTGTACTTATACTTTATTGGTTGAGATTAGCTGTCTTCTACATCACCTCCCCTCCAATGTGGTGTGCTACTCCTGAATTATCAGTTTTACAGAGTTTGAGATGTTGAGCAACGGAAATCACAGCTGCACACTCCAGAGTGTTCAACATTTCTATGGAGTTAAATTCTTTTTCTTCTTCTTTCTTTTTTTTTTTTTTTTTTTTTTTTTGGCTTTTTGGGTCACATCTGGCAAAGCTCAAGGCTTACTCCTGGATCTGCACTCAGGAATCACTCCTGGCGGTGCTCAGGGGACCATATGGGATGCTGGGAATCGAACCCGGGTCGGCTGCGTGCAAGCCCTACCTGCTGGCCCTGGAGTTAAAGTATTTTTTAAATTTTGTATTGAATCACTGTAAGATAGACCCTTACAAAGCTGTTCATGATTGGATTTCAGTCATACAATATTCCAACATCCATCCCTCCACCAGTGTACGTTTCCCAGTACCAGTGTCCCCAGGTTCCCTCCCATCACCCCCCACCTGCAATATTGAAATATTGATACTGAAAGGTTATTAAGAATATCCCTCTACCCACTTTCAATATAGCTAAGAATGACCATGCTGGCGTTAAATTTTTTTTTCTTTTGCTTTTTGTATCATACCTGGCGATGCTCAGGGGTTACTACTGGCTTTGCGCTCAGGAATTACTCCTGGCAGTGCTCAGGGGACCATATGGGATGCTGGGAATCGAACCCGGGTTGGCCGCGTGCAAGGCAAACACCTTACCCACTGTGCTATCACTCCGGCCCCACTGGCATTAAATTCTTAACTGACTGACAGGTTTGGGGCATGTGGGTGACTGCTGGGTTTCTGGAAATCCAGAAAGATGGGGGAGATAGCCCATCTGCGACCCCTTGAAAGCTGGAGATTTCAGTTACAAAACCCGCATACCTGAGTTTTCCAACAGACTCATTTCTGGATGAGGCTCATCCTGAGCCTGTAAAGTCTGGCCGTGAGTATGGCAGTGATCGGGTTCTGGAGGTTTTCAAGCCCCATTCATTCTTACATTAAATTCTGCGCCCATCTTCAAACAGAAGACTCACCAGGATCTTGCATTTACTTTCACATTTTGAAAGAAAATCTGTTTCAATAATTCCTGACAATTCCGTGAGAACCAACTGCTCCTCCTCTTCTTCCTCATCCTCCTACCCTGGGTGCCACGTTCAGCAACAATTTGATTTGTCGTCTTTTGATGCAGGGGTGGTCTGGGCCACAGCTGGAGCCAGTGGGGGCCACGCTCAGCTTCTGTGCTTGCAGAGCCTCCCAGTGTTGCTCAGGGGACCCTGGGATCAAACCCAGGTGTCTTGTTTGCAAAGCTGTGCCAGCCCTCAGAGCACCCGGGGTCAGGAGAGCTGTGAGGGGCCCACAGGGAAGGAGCATGTCTAGGCTCCCAGGGCCAGAGCGATAGTCCAGGGGGTAGGGAGGTGTTTGCCTTGCTTACGGCCAGCCCAGGTTCAGTCCCCGGCACTCTATAGGGTCCCCCAGTCTGCCAGGAGTAATCCCTGAGTCCAGAGCCAGAGTGAGCCCAGAGCACACCAGACGTGCCCACCCCCCCCCAGCTAAAAAAAGTCGTTGAAAGGTAATTTTAGTAAAAAGCAAAACCAGGCCTCTCCTGTAGATATGAAACATGATAGTGTGTTGAAGGTTTTCTTCTCCTCAGACAGTGAGCTGAGGGCTGGAGAGACAGAAAGAGGGGAGGGTATTTGTCTTGCAAGTGCCTGACGCAAGTTCGATCCCTGGCACCCCATGTGGTCCCTGAGCACCACCAAGAGAAATTCCTGAGTGCAGAGCTAGGAGTAAGCCCTGAGCATTGCTGAATATACACCCCCGCCAAAAAAAAAAAAAAAGACTGAGCAGTGCAGTAGCACAAATGCACAAATTCGTCTAGACTTTGGGTTGCCAAATGACTGCAGATGGAGCAGACGGGGTTTTCGGGCAGCAGGATTGAGTATTAGTCACCCACGAATTAGTGCCATCTCAGTTCCCTCTTCTCCTATTCTTTGGAGCCTGTCACATATCATTTTTGGAAAATGTCTGGTCAGAGGCAACCACCTGTACTCAGAGAACCACCTGCATTCAGAGCTGCCTCTGGGCAAGTTCTCTCTGTGCTGACTCAACCCTGTCCCGGAGGGAGAGGGAGCTTGCCTCAGGCTCCCCCACCCCCAGGGTCAGATTTCCTGAAGTCTCAGCATTGGCTGTTCTGGGACAAGGCCCTGAGGCAGAGTCCTTGCCTTTCATGTGTGAGGCCCTGGGCTTTCAGCTCCAGCACCCCAGGGCTCGGCCACTGAGCGACCCCCAGACCTGGAGCACCACCAGGTGCAACCCCCAGACCAGGAGCACCACCAGGTGCGGCCCCCAAGCCACCAAACTTTTTTTTTTACCGGTTCGTTGGCTTAGCTTGGGCCAGCAGGACAGGCTGGAGTGTGCCCTGGAACTCCAGCCATCATCCCTGGCCCCTGTGTTCACCAAGTGCCCCTGGGAATGGTCTTCCCTCAAAAAAAGAATTGGAGGGCTGGAGCGATAGCACAGCAGGTAGGGCCTTGGTCATGCACGCGGCTGACCCGGGTTTGATTCCTGGCATCCCATGTGGTCCCTCGAGCACTGCCAGGAATAACTCCTGAGCATCGCCGGGTGTGACCCAAAAAGAAAAAAAAGAATTGGTTGGGGGTTCAGGAAACTCAGCGGCAGGGGGGCTGCCTTGTAGGTGTGAGGCCTCAGGTGGGACCCTCAGCTCTGTTCCATGTGTCTGTGTAAGCCTGACACCCGGATGTGTGAGCACCTCAAACAAAATGCCCAGCCCTCTCTGTACTGCAACTCAAGGCACAGACAGAATCCCAGGGACCCCTGCTACCACCAAAGTGCGTGCGTGTGTGTCCCTGTCATTGCAATAGTCACACAAGAAAGGGAACGGGAGAGATCGATTTCCATGATGATAAAGAAGCCTGGTCCAGAGCCAGAGTGCAGTGGGAGGGCCTTGACCTTGCACAAGCAGAGCAGGGTCCAATCCTCAGCACCACTTGGGTCCCCCCAAGCCCCACCAGGAATAATTCCTGAGTGTAGAGCCAGGAGTAACCCTGAGCAACACAAGGCATGATCCAAAAAGATAAAAAGGGGAAAAAAAAGAGTAATTCCTAAGTTCCTGAGTGCAAAGCCCTGCCCCCGCCCCCTCCTGTCCACTCTAGAATCCAAAGAGATCCAGTTTCCTGTTGCAATTAAAGCCCTTTAGATTTTTTTTTTTTTTATGAACATCTCAAGTTGGTGAGTCTTCTTCCACTCTCCTGCTGGTTTCCTTCATAGCCTAAAGCTTTACATTTTTGACTGAGTCCCGTTTATCTCTGTTCTCAATAAGCTTTGTCATTATGTGTAAGGAACTTTGATGACCTCAAGATTCACTCCTGGAATTTCTCCTTAGAACTCTTAGTGCCACATACATGTCTCTGACTCGCTGAGAGTTAACTCTCACTTAGTTCTTGGGACTTGGTACACATTCAGACATGCCATTCAGTCAAATGCCCTGCTATGCCAGCTCTATTTGTTGAAAAGGTTCCTTTCTTCCATGGTCTTAGTGGCCTATGACCCAGTAACATTAAATGTCAGGAGGTCACAGGCAAGCAGTTTTATGCTGGATTTTCCTCCTTGTTCCACTCATCTGTAAGGTGGTGTCCCTTTTCTCGACTCCTGTAGTTTGTTTTGTTTGTTAGTTTCTATATTTTTTGTTCTTGTGTTTGGACCACTACCGGTTGTGCTTAGAATTGCTCCTGGGGCTGGAGCAATAGCACAGCGGGTAGGGCGTTTGCCTTGCACGCGGTCGACCCGGGTT